CCCGTTGCGTAACTTTCAGCAGAGAGGAAAGTACAAAAACTGTCCCTATCACTTGACTTGTTTTCCATTTTGATTTAGTTACTTGGCACAGTCTTGGTATCCTGTAGTGGGGGAATGAAAGACAAGCAAGTTCCAATGAAGGACCGTGCCTCCGAGGGCATCAGCCAATGGATGGTTTGTGAGACCTGGCAGGTGTTAAATTTCATATTGTTTTTGGGCAGAAGGATTAGAGTTTCTAGAGACGGCTTGAAAAAACATCATCCTATAGTACTTGCAATTTTTTTTTTTCTAAAAGAGAATTCTTTCCTCTCTCTTCCCTCAACACTGTGTGCTTCTTGTGGTGTATATACCTCTGCTTTAAAATATCACAGCTACTAGGTAAGAGGGGCCATTTTATAGCAAAATCATTTCTCCTCATGTTCTGTGATATTTCAGTTTGGCAGTAGAGTTTACAAGGTTTGAAATCAAAAGCAGTGTTGGTTCCTTCAGGGAAAAATGATCCCAATCTACCAAAATAAAAGCCAAACAGACTCTAATTGTTCCTTTTCCCGCTGGGGGCTTGTCCTTTTTGAAGGTATGGGTTAGTTTGATAGGACCTTCTCTCTAACAAGGTTAGTCACTGGGAATTGCCTCTTTCCCTGGATAAAACCCACTTTTAAATCTATTTTAAAACAGACCTCAAAGAGTATTTGAAAATAAAAGTACTTTGGTATCTCTCCATTCTCTTGCCCCCTCCCTCAGCAAGGAGTCTCCAGTTTTCTTACAGGGCACCCTTGCTGCAGTGTCTAATCCTCATGCTAAATTAGGAAGGATTTATGTTTTCATAGTTTTTATTGAACTATCCATGTGTTGTGAAAACTTAAGTAAATGCTAACCAGGGGGCTAAATTTTTTTCTCATTTTCTGTCAAGGCTAGTTCCATAAATTTTACAATGTCAGGCTTTTTCCGTTGGTTGCTAGTCTGGTGTTCATCAGAATATTCAGAGCAGCAGCCTTAACTTTCCCCAGCCTTCTTAACCTGCTTTGACTAAAGGTGCAGTATATGCCTTTCATGAATCCTATGTCAGCTCTTCCACAACTTGGAGACTTGAAAAATACCATTTTATGTTACTGGCAAATTTTTTTCTCAGTGCATAAGGATTTTCAAATCAAACCAAGGGTTTTTTTTTTTTTTTTTTTTTTTTTTTTCCTTCTGTCTCTTGTCCTCTTTCTTCCTCCAGTGTCTTGCAGCCCATGATTTGGCAACCCCTTACAGGAGGCTCCTGAGCCACCAGTCACATGAGAATGAAGGCAAGAAAAGAAAGGACCAGATGGCATCAAAAGATATGCCTTTCTAGGTCGTTGGTGGTTAAGCTTGCAATCTGGTTACCAGCAGGGAGACCATGGGGGAAAGGGTGAGAACAGCACAGCACCACTGTAAGGGAAGAAGAATTTTGCCGTACGGTTTGTTTCAATAATTTGCTGGAGAAAAAAAATTTATACATGAAGGTGAATGAATTTTCTGATTTAACTTTCCAGTTTACAGTCACAGGGTATCACATGGCTCTTGGAAGGGTGAATTTACCTAAAACTGGCATATAACAAGCATGTGGAAAACTGTGTGCAGTATTTGGATGGCATCTTTGAAAAGTGTGGCTCCCACTTGGTCAGTTGCTGTCCTTCAACTGCCATTAACCTTTTGTTACTTTATTCTCTATAAATTCCTGACTCACAAGTATAAAAACTGAAGGAAATGACATTTGGCTCTCACAGATAGACCTTTCCCCACAGGAGAGCAGAGGACATCATTTACCACTCCTTCATACTCGTATCTGTTTTGGAGATTGTATTTACAAGACATGGAAAATGGCATCACTGGCCTTTGTGAGACATGATAACTCAGAGTATCTTTTCTTAAGCTGTAACTTGGAGCACATTTATAATTATTTGACTGAAGAAATGTTCGATAGTGGCTAATAAAAAGTATTTTAGAGGGCAGTCTGACCTCCCTGTTCATCAGCCATCTTACACATTGACTCCCTTGGCCTGGGCAAATTCTGATTTGATAGTGCTATTGCAGCAGACCAGACTGCTGAACTTGGCTGATATTTCCTTACAAAATTCCAACTTAGTTGTTTTCCCCTGAAAGAAAAAAGTTAAGATATTTTTAATTTTAGGTTCAAACTTGATTTCAATATATGAACTTGAGTCCTGTAGTCTTTTAATTACCTTGAGAAGTGTTGCTTTCTCATAGATGAATTCAATATCTCTCAAGTCCAAAGTCAAATTTCAGCTTCTCTTGTAAGTCTTCTTTCTCCAATTACAATCTCTCCTTTTATTCAGATTCTGTTGCCCTTGATTTCTGTATGACTCATTTCATTATGAACCAAATGAGCAAAACAATATGTTTCATTCTGTAGTTTAGATTATAAACTCTTAAAGTTTCTGTTTCTACTTCTGCCATTCAAGCAAGTGTGTGGAATATTGCTGAATAAACAAAAGGTAGTAAAAAAAATCCCTCGATAATAAGAAGAAAGAAAAAACATAGATATTTTAATATTATGTTAGTTGATTTCTGCCTAGATTTTAATGTGACTGTAGATCTCACGAAACAGAAAACTGACCCACCCATTATTTTTTCCTTGATGTAAAAGTAAGGAGTCATTCTGAAGTCCCTTAAACTCCGTAAAAGATACTTCCTATGTAGTTCTGGGGTTAAGTAATTTAAACAAAATTGACAAGTTATTCTTGTCATTTATGTTAACTTTACTAGTTGCTCTATTAACTTTTTTAGATGACTGAATTCAGAGCCCCCCTTGACAGCCTCTAATTAGCTAGACAACCACCAGTCTTTCTCTCTACCCTCCAGTAATATCATGAGTACAGTTGTTAAGCATACACTGTAATAATCCTAATGAAGAGGTTAAAGGATTTTTTAGTATGGATTTTTTTGGTGGTTTTTGTTTTTGTTTTTTGCTTGCTTTGGTTTTTTGATGTTTTAGTCTACTCAGCAAGAGCGCTTTGTGATCATGTGAATCCTCCCTTAAGAGGTTTCCTAGTTAAAAATGAGAATTTTGCTAAAGGTTCTGTGATTTGGGGTAGCACAGCAGGGGAGCAGAGTGACTTTAAAATTGTTAAATTTGATGGGGCGCCTGGGTGGCTCAGTCGGTTAAGCGGCCGACTTCAGCCAGGTCACGATCTCGCGGTCCGTGAGTTCGAGCCCCGCGTCAGGCTCTGGGCTGATGGCTCAGAGCCTGGAGCCTGTTTCCGATTCTGTGTCTCCCTCTCTCTCTGCCCCTCCCCCGTTCATGCTCTGTCTCTCTCTGTCCCAAAAAAAATAAATAAACGTTAAAAAAAAAAAATTGTTAAATTTGAAATTGAGGTTGGAGTACCTGGGTGGCTCAGTCCGTTAAGCAACCAGGTCATGATCTTGCAGGTCGTGGGTTTGAGCCCTTTATCAGGCTTTATGCTAATAGCTTGGAGCCTGTAGCTTCCTTCAGATTTTTTCTCCCTGTCTTTCTACTCCTCCTCCCTCTTCACACTCTATTTCTCAAAAATAAATAATCATTAAACATTTTTTTAAAAATTGTTAAATCTCTTTAAGGGAAATCCATTGATATACTTTTAATTTAGGGAAATTTTTAAAATTCCTTTATCTACATCAGGTATGACAGATTTCATCTTGGAGCCAACTATTAGATTTGAGTTAATGGGCTCAGTAAAGAGATTTGGAATGGAAATACTAATGGACCTCTAACTATAGCCGGGATAGTGGGTACTGTAAGAATCTTGACAGTTCATCACCAAACCTCTGATCTCATTCCCCTGAATCATCTTGCTTATCTGTGACATAATTGGTTGCTTATTGCCTTCTCCTACCTCTCTTTCAAATTGCTAGCATTTGAGAATTTCACTTGTCATTATATCTTGTGTATTAAGACAGAAGCATAGTTTGGTGGGTGAACTAGTAAAACCATTTTGGCCCTCCTTGAGAAGATGATGTGTTTTGTTCCTGGTGCAACTGAGACAGTTGCTATAAATATTCAGTTATAGCTCTTTAAGGAATAAGGATGAACTGTAAATACATACTTGGATTTTCTTTTCAGATATACTTTTAATTGCTGAATTATATTATGCCTATGAAGCACAGAACCAGAGATTGTTTTAGGGTACAATTATGTACCTAGAACCCTCATCATGGGTCATCATGATCATAGTATCTTAAGGATATGGGGAAGGTAAATCTGTGAGACTCTGTGCTAGCATTTTCAGGAGAAAATTTTCCTAACTTGCCCAAAGGATGGGTGGATTAAATAAATGCAATGACTTTTAGTAAAGAATTTTGTCACCTAGCTTTTTGCCATGTGTAGAAAATTGGAGGTGGGGTAATGAGAGAGAGAGGAGAGGGAGAAAGAAAGAAAAATTAAAAACTAATGAGCTGGTACATTTAGATATTAGGAAGTAGGTTGTTGTTTCAGTGGCTGAAACAACCTGTCCCTGTGGGGACAGGTATGTGTGTGGGTGTGTGCAAAAGATGGGAGGGAGGAAATGGAAATTTGTGAGCCTTTTCTACCCCCTGGGGGTACTCCAGCTGAAGACTGCTAGGTCTCTAGCCTGTGGTTCTAGGCATTCGAAATGAAATACAATTAATTGCCCTGTATGCTTTCCTACTTACACATTAATACAGCTGGAGACAGTTGGGGAGGGTTAAAAATTAAATCATCTCTGACAGATTACCATTGGGGATAATAATCTGAAGTGACCATGTCTACAGAGTACAACAGAAATGGCAGAGACTGAAAACCAGTAGTCATGCCTATACTTGCAGATACTTAGAAACTGAAGAATTAGGGGTGTAACATGAGTATAGACTAAATAATGTGTGAATTATTATTTGTCTTAAAATAGATTTTAGGATGTTTCTAGTAGAATATTCAATCTGTGCTGATTTGATTTTCTTTCTTTTTTTTTTTTTTTTTTTTTTTTTTTTTTTTTTTTTTTTTTTTTTTTGGTCTTTCTTAGACGAGCTCATCTGCGCCTGTGTTTAGAACGCTTAAAAGTTCTGATTCCACTAGGACCAGACTGTACCAGGCACACAACACTTGGTTTGCTCAACAAAGCCAAAGCACACATCAAGGTGAGAATTTCTGCTTTCATATTTGTACATGTCTCGGCCCTTGTTTCATTATAAGCAGTGATTCCTATTCATAAACATCAGCTAGCCCCCTGTGCCCTCCTTAATCACTGACCTCAAGAGAAATCTTTCTGAAAACTTACCAACTAATCTGATGGGAGCAACATAAACTGATTAAACTAAACTGTTTTGACAGCATGGCCATTTGAGGAACTGGAAATACTAGGAAAAAACAATTACTCTGCTGATCCCTAGAAGGAAGGCAGTTGTGCCCTCTGGTGGAGATGAGTTTATTTGGCTCCGTGTCTCAGTATTTTTCCATCAAACTACAGTGCAGAGCAAGTTTCTCTTTCATGGAGATAACTTTACAGACTTTGAGAATTCCATACTGTTCTTGTAATGTAGCATTCATTACACACACAAAAAGGAAAAAAGAAGTATTCTTGATGTTTAAAAGTATGTATTTATGTATGTTTTTATACACACACACACACATATATACTTGTATTTTCATATTTTCTCTGCCAAAGAAGAAATGTTTTAAGATATTAGGTAGAAATCAGTTTTATTGTTTGTACTGGACTGTGCACAAACTAAAATATCATTTTATCATTTTAGAAACTTGAAGAAGCTGAAAGGAAGAGCCAGCACCAGCTAGAGAACTTGGAACGAGAACAGAGATTTTTAAAGCGGCGACTGGAACAGCTGCAGGGTCCTCAGGAGATGGAACGAATACGAATGGACAGCATTGGATCAACTATTTCTTCAGATCGTTCTGATTCAGAGCGAGGTAGGCAGTGTACTTCTTCCCTAATGAAATACTAAGCATCCTTGTATCTAAATTTAGGCAGGGTAAGTTGGAAAGCACTCTATTTTCTTCTATTTGCTTTCTTCTTTCTTCAGCTAATACTGTAACGTTCTAGATTTTTGTGCAATCACAACATTGTCTAGCAACCCCTATATGAACTATAGAACTTTTTTCCTTGATTATATACATAATGTATTAACTTTCCACTTTGAAACAATTTTAGACTGACATAAAAGTGTTTTCTATAGAAAATTGTAGAGTTCTCATATGCTCTTCCCCCAGGTTTCCTTAATGTTAACATCTTATGTAGCCATAATATAGTTATTATAACCAGAAAATTAATATTCATGTAATGCTTTTAATTAATCTGTAGACCTTATTCAAATTTCATCAGTTTTCCCACTAATGTCCTTTGTCTGATCTAGGATCCTGTGCAGGATCCAACATTGCATTAGATAGTTCCTCAGTCTTTCGTAATCATGACACTTCTTTTTTTTTTTAATTTTTTTTTAAGTTTATTCATTTTTTTGAGAGAGCATGAGTGGGGGAGGAACAGAGAGAAAGAGACACAGAATCTGAAGCAGGCTCCAGGCTCTAAGCTGTCAGCACAGAGCCTGACTCAGGGCTTGAACCATGAACCACAAGATCATGACCTGAGCCAAATTCAGCCACTTAACTGGCTGAACCATTCAGGCGCCCCCCAACCATGACACTTCTGAAGAGTATTGGTTAGTTATTTTAGACAGGGTCTCTCTAGTGTCTTATGTTCTCCCATTATTAAATTGAGGTTATGCATTTGGGGGGAAGAGATATCACAGAAGTGATGTGCCCTTCTCAATTCATTCTATCAGGAAGATATGTGATGTTGATATGTTTTGTTACTGGTGATACAAATTTTTATGTCTGTATTTTAAAGCACCACACCCTTCATTTCTCTCTTCCCATCTGTCCCATAACATTTGTCTTTGGCAGAATGAAAGAACAAGAATTAATCAAAAATTTGTTTGAATTTTACTGATCTCTTTATAACTCCCACCACATCAGGCCTATAGCACTTAAAAGATCCCAGAGGTTGGGGCGCCTGGGTTGCTCAGTCGGTTAAGCGGCTGACTTTGGCTCAGGTCATGATCTCGCGGTCTGTGAGTTCGAGCCCTGCGTCGGGCTCTGTGCTGACAGCTCAGAGCCTGGAGCCTGTTTCGGATTCTGTGTCTCCCCCTCTCTCTGACCCTCCCCCGTTCATGCTCTGTCTCTCTCTGTCTCCAAAATAAATAAACGTTAAAAAAAAAATTAAAAAAAAAAAAAAAATCCCAGAGGTGAACTTCACCCTCATGATTTTAAGCTTTACATTTGGGAAAACAGCTCATGAGGATTCTAAAACAAAAAAGGAAATGTTTGTAAAATACCTTTTGACTTTTTATTATGGAAATTTTCAAACATACACAAAAGTAAAATTGAATATTGTCATGTACCCATCATCCAATTTGAACAGCTATCAACATTCTGCCATTCTTGTTTCATCTGTTATCTATCCCCTCATCCTCACCATTTTTTCTGGAATATTTTAAATCAAATCCCAGATAACATTAATAATTTTGTCCCTAAATAGTTCAGTATGTATCTTTAATAAATGGCACTTAAAAAAATCATAATGCTATTATAGCCCACAAAATCAATGAAATCAGATAATCTTATTTAATGTCTGATAATCCAATTTCTGATAGATTTTCTCAAAGATAGCATTTTACCTTTCATTAGAGCCCCAAATCCATATTGCATTTGTTTTTGCCTTTTAAGGTACTTTTAATCTATAATAGTTTTCCCTTCCCCATTTCTTTGTTGTAGAAACTGAGTCATTTTTCTTATAGAATTCCCACATTTTAGATTTGGCTGATGGAATCCTCATGATGTCATTTAACATGTTCTTCTGTCCTTATTTCCTGTAAACTGGTTGGTGGATCTAGTGACTTGATTAAATTCAGGTTCTTTTTTGAGGCAAGAATGCTTCATAGGTGATACTGATACATTTATGCAAATGCTCAACCTTTCACTTAATAGTTTTAGTAATCATCAGTGATTGCCCCAATTTATTATTTCTTTAGATATTACAAATAGTACTTCCTAATTCTACCATTCTTCTTGCATTTATTAAATTTTTTATAAAGAAGAAATTTTGGGGGGTGCCTGAGTGGCTCGGTTTGTTAAGTGTCTGACTTCGGCTCAGGTCATGATCTTGAGGTTCATGAGTTTGAGCCCCATGTCAGGCTCTCTGCTGTCAGCACAGAGCCTCCTTCACATCCTCTGTTTCCCTCTCTCTCTGCCCCTCCCTACCCCCTTTTCGCTCTCAAAATAAATAAAAACATTGAAAAAAAAAAAACGTTTCTTCATCAACTTTTTTGGTTACCCTGAAATAAAGTCCATATAGGGAAAATGGGATAGATTCTTTTTTTAAACTTAGGTGTTTTTGGTTTTTTAGTCAATTTTCTGAATAATGAATCATCAGTGTCTTAGCAACCTCCAGAGGTAACAGGGTTTTTTGTTTTGCCTTTTGTTTTTTATTATCTTATGAATTCCTCATAGGTTTTCATGTATTGAATATGTTCTAATCCATGAAGTCATTCTTTTTGTCCTTTTTTAATTTTTTTATTTTAGAAAGAATACGAGCAGGGGGAGAGGGGCAGAGATAGTGAGAGACTCTTAAGCAGACTCCACACTCAGTGCAGAGTCCAACACGGGGCTCAATTCCACAACCCCAGGATCATAACCTAAGCCAAAATCAAGAGTCAGACACTCAACCAGCTGAGCCACCCAGGCGAACCTTTATTCTTTTTAATAATCAAATTTCCCACATTCCATAGAAGCATTTCAAATTGATTTTTGATCCCTTTTAACACAACCCTGGTAGTCCTGGGTTTATTGTTTTTGTTGTCGTTTTGCTGTGTAAGTTTATTTTTACATGGCACTCAGTTTCAGAGAACAAAAGTTTACCAGAGACAACAGCAAGAACCTCAAGGACATGCCACATTTATGAATGACACTGAGGTGTAGCAGAAATAACCCTGAATTAGGAGGCAGACCTTGATGCTAGTCTTTTTTCTACTGGTTACTAGCTGTGTGACTTTGTCAGGTGTTCAGCTTTAGCTGCCCTTCCTGATGTTAACTCCTCTTTGTACCCATCCCAACCTCCAAATTTGACTAATGGTATATCTTCATTATAGTGTTCATTTTTTTTAGTAGTGCTAGTGTAGTACCTCTTTTCCCTATTCTTATCTGGAAGCCCTGTTTCCCAGTATTACAGGGGACTTTTAGTAATATCTCTAGTCCATTTGACTAGAGCAGTCTCTCATTTTACTTTGTTATGATTGAGTGCAGCATGGTCTGTTGGATAGGGTGTCTTGATTTTATTTTCCAGTTATAGGTTGGATGAGTATTCTGTGATACCGGGAAACACTAAATAGCCTGTGAAGCATTGTGGATGTAAAACAAATAGTTATGAATTCATAGGATTGTTTGGACAGCTTATTTGGATAGATGCCTGCATTTTAGAAACAGATTTCTAAAACTTTTTGAGGCAACAAGTCCTTTTGAAAATTATACTCTTTGAAATAACTTACTCTGTCTTCTTGGGCTCAGCAAGAATCCACTTTTCCTAAAGCAATTGTGATCAGTGTGAACCCTTAGAATCAGTGCCAAATATAAAACATTAGGCTTTGAGTTTAAAAGAATTGAATAATCCTGAGTTCATTCTAGCTGTTATGGGAGAGAACAATTTTTCAAGTGCTTTTTTTTTTTAAATGTATGTTGCATTTTATGTATTATTGGTGATTGTATATGTAATGTTTAACAAACTACCTGTTGATAGCTGGTCGTATATGTATTTAGGGATTTTTTTTTAAATCATGTTTGATGTTTGAAGTAAACTTAAATATCACCATTGAAATATCTTTACTATAATCTTTACTGTAGATCTCCCTATAATCCAGAGACTTTTCAGGCTCATACCCTCATTTCAAGCTATGTTTGATGCAAGAAAATTAAATTGAAGGCAAATCCCTCAGAGTTCACTTTGTAATGACTGGCTTAGTTTGGCTATTGAATACACAGAGGTCTTTATGATGAATCCTAGAAGTCTGTAGATCTGTCTGTAGGATGATATTACCAAAGGCAAGAATTAATGGATAAATTTTCTCGTTCACCTATACTAAGTTTATGCTTTTTTTCCTCTTTAAGGCAACTCTGATTAATAAACAGCACTGAGAATTAGTTTCTAGTTTAATGCAAAACAGATGTTGTTAAACCAGTTGGGGTTGGGATCTTTTAATATTAAGCACTAATTCCCAAATAGGCCAAGTGCTTTTGGTGGGAGGTCCAGACGGACTGGCGTCAAAGGCTTTAGAAAACTTGCTGCCTAAATTGAGACCACCGCTGGATACCAGACATTCCCCTTTGCAAAAATATATCCGTGTCTCTTCACCTTTGATTACTTCTGTCCTCCAGGGTTCACCGATAATAAGCTCGTATAACAATTATTTAAGAAAAATTATTTCATACTACCCAAAGTAATCACTTTTCTTATGCCCTTTCCTCATTAATTTTTGAAAGTGCATGTATACTAGATTACTGATGCTCTTCCTTTTTTCTCTTTGGCAGAGGAGATTGAAGTGGATGTTGAAAGCACAGAGTTCTCCCATGGAGAAGTGGACAATATCAGTACCACCAGCATCAGTGACATTGATGACCACAGCAGCCTGCAGAGTATTGGGAGTGACGAGGGTTACTCCAGTGCCAGTGTCAAACTTTCATTCACTTCCTAGAACCCAGCATGACATAACAGTGCAGGGCAAAATATTCACTGGGCCAATTCAATCCAAACAATCTCTTAAATTGGGTTCATGATGCAGTCTCCTCTTTAAAACTAAACAAAACTATACTTGAACAAAAGGGTCAAAAGACCTCTATTTAAGCAAATACTTAGCAAAAAGTGGGGCAGAGCCTCCCCAGCAGAACAAATACTCATTCGTATTTGAAAATCACAGCTTCTAATGGCAGCAGAAAACTTCTGTGAAATTTTCTTGATTTAGTTTATTTGAAAGAGGACATTGGAGATTCTGTCCTCTATCTTCTCTAGTTTGCTCATACTACAATGAGTAGACACATTTAAGGATGGGGTTATGAACCCTTCCCGAGTTTTAATGGTCGTAAAAAACAAAATCAAACCTATACTAATGAGAAGACAAGATAATCAGGCATTAATCTTGGATAGCTAAAGAGCTATTAAAACTCAGCCTGGGACAGCTTATCATGAAGCCTGTGGATGATCAATTCTTGAAAAAACAAACAAAAAAACAAAAAAAAAGCAAGCTCATTTCATGCTCTGCAAAAGGAGAGACTCCCATGAAGCCTTTTGAAAGGGATCATCATGCAGCTCAGCTTTCTGTTGGATTCCATGCTAAGCAAGCTAACCTTATCCTGCATTGTTAGCAGTAGGGCACCCAACCGCCAGCTCAACAGTCAGCCGCCCTTAGGCCCTTGGGCAGCATGGGGGCAGTCTGTGTATGACAGCCTCTACCACACAGGGCCTATAATTCGGATTGAGGGGCCAGAAGGAAAAAGCTCTCCATGCCTCTGTGTCTGCGTAGGCCAGAAGAGTTGTGCAACGCAGATTAGCAGGTCAAGGTCTGAGCCACGGCAGCATTTTTATTTCAGATTTTGATAACTGTTTGTATGTGTTGAAAACCAAAATGACATCTTTTTAAAGCTTGTCCATAAAAAACATAGATGTCTTTTATAGTGGAAAAACACATGGGAAAAAAATCATCTATTTTGATGCAGCATTTGATAATGATAAAACACCTCACACCTCACTCTTTATAGTGCACAAAACGAATGAGGTCTGGGCTAGGTAGAAAAAGGTCAGTGCTGTTTTTGTTTTCTTTTAGAATCATTACCTTTACCAGCTTTTAACCATCTGATATCTATAGTAGACACATTATAATACTTAACATAGTTAAGTTTGGCACTTGTCTCATTTTATTGTAAAGGTTTGCTTCCATTTTCTTACAGGCAGTCTCTCTCCTTCCTCACAGTCCCACTGTGCAGGTGCTATTGTTGCTCTTCTCAATATTTTCAGAAATGTTTTCTTTTAAGTGAAATTTCTTTTCTAACCTGCACTTTGATGTCATGTGTTCCCTTTGTCTTTCAAAATCCAAGGTTCCCCCTGGCCCTCTCCTTTATCCCAGGAAGCCTTCTTGGACACCTTATCCCTGGCTCTTTGGACTTTGTATACTTTAAATAATTTAACTACCCTTAATTACTTAAAAAAAAAAAAAGCTTTATGATTTTCATAACTTATTGCTGATTTTAATGGGTTGTTAATTTCAGTCCTGTAGTTTTATTTTGTTTAGATAGGGCTGGGCAAGGAAAAAGAAAATAAAGACAACCATATTTAGCAGTGCAGTTGAGTTGTGTGTGTAATGTTAGACTATCCTTTGTAAGTAGCACTTTAACAGCTTTCACTGCTTCTCTGTATGAAGTGTACCATCTTGGCCATACACAAGGCCTCAGCATATACTTACTTGTTTTTTGTGCTTTTCCTGTGCCTCCCAAAATATTTTATCCTTGATTGTGCTATGTTTGAGTGGAAGAAATTCTTTGAAGTAGATGTGTGAAAAACTGCATGCCTTTAGAAGCCCATTATTAGAACTTGCTAATAACTTCAGGTGCTGGGGACTTAATGAAAAACATGGCAAATTCATTTCTCTGGCCCAGGTAAATTACTTCTGGTTTTACTTATAATTACTCCTGGCTGGGTCAAAATGTTGCTCTATATATTTGCTTTCTTTTGACTTTCCCAAGGGAGACAGTTTAAAGACTCTGCTAACTACCATGGAAAGAAAATGGAAGCCAGTGATTCAGCTTCCATTTTGTTACTCCCATGGCATTCACTTACATCACTTGCCTAGGGCTGGAATTTCGGTCTTCATTCAGGAGAACTTGAGGTGCTGCCACTTTGTTGTATATGTACAAGTTGGTGGGCTGGGAAGCCTTTGTCACGAATCTATAATACCTATTTCAACTGCCCCCTAAATTACTCCTTCCCCGGGTTTGTTTTCCTTGCGGGAGGGGAATGGATTGTATGATGAGCGAAAAGTATTAATTTTTTAAAAGACAAATCGACTTTGAAGATATAAAAGTTAATTGCAAGAAATAAAAATTGTGAATGAAGAACACCCGAGTGCTTTTTGTACACCCTTCTCTATGAAGGAAAAAATATGAATGAGCATCCACACCTTGAAAAGCAACTATCTCCTAAGCTGATACTACTTCAGTAGTCCAGAATTAATGGCAATTTGAATCATTGCCATTTCCTGTTCTGTAATTTAAACAGGTGCCTTCTTGACTGATGTGATAACTCCATGTAACCTAACTGCAGATGGTTTAATGTACCCGATAATCTTAACTGCTTCAGGTAGGACACAAAGCCATTTGTTATTATCCGTTCTTAACAACTTTTTAGAGGAATCACTTTGTACTGTCATTTAAATTGAAAATAAGTCTGGAAGTTATTTAGTCCCCACCCACTAACCTGAGTTAAAGTACCCTTTGTGTAAAATGCCTAAGTAATATATTAATAGATAGAGGTAAAGTCCTGTTTCAGTGCATATTTGTTACCAAAGAAGATTCTGATGAAGTCAAACTAGTTTCTGATTAGAATAAGTATGAGAATTCTGGTAGAAATGCCTTTTCCAGTCCCCATGACAGTGATAGCTTTTAGCATTATGAAGGGATTTCAAAAGGCAGGATTATTGAGGCAAATCTTCTAACCTAAGGCCACACTACTTCCTGGGTCATTTCTCATGAGAAAATTGTTTAACCTCTTAGGTAAGTTTCTTTGCGAAGTTTGTTTTCTTCCACTTGAAGCAACTAGCTGCCTTTTCCCTTTCTTCTTTCATTATCCTTCCACCTCAAAAATTCCATACTTCCTACCAACAACAGCATAATGTGGGAAGAATAGGGTTTTTTGGGTCACATTTAAATCTCAGTTCTAATATTTGCTAAGGACTCTGGGCAAGTTACTTAATTTCTTCATGGAGCCTGTTTCCTCCTGAAAAGTTGTTGTAAATACTACCTCTATCTTGAAAGATTGTAAGACTCAGTCTAGGAGTTTGTAGCACCAAAAGGAAAGTAAGAGGTATGTACTTCTCAGCTTTCTCTGATTAATGCAACCTTCTAATTTTTTCATCTTTAATCTTGAATTTTAGTTATTCTGACTCTGGGTCTTACAGAAAAAGACTATTTCTATTAAATAAAATGGTTCATTTTCACAAAATTCCATGACAGGCTATACTTTGTAAGAAGTCAATTTTGATGTCCTATAGAATTTTTTAAATAAAGACTTTATAAGATTGATGTATCAGCGGTTTTAGTGATTACCTGGTCTTTCTAAAAAAAGACTAACCTGAGCTTGAGTATGTTAAACACTAATAGTAACCATTGCATAATGCCGTAGTTAATATTTAGTGTTGGCCTTGCCAAGAAAAAAATCTTGGCTCATGTACTAGATCTAATAGGAAACTGGTTTTCTTGTGGAATACATCTGAGTCTTTTAAATAATAAGTGTAGCTCAAGATACATGTACTGGCTGACAACCTCACTTCTTGGTTCTGTTTTACCTTTCTATACAGTCATAAATTGTTAGGGGAAATGGCTTAGATGAAGCTCTTTTAAAGTATTGCCAACTAACTTCCTATAATTTTGAAATTTTTTCCATTTCCTCAAGCTCTTAACTCTTTGTTATGGAGGGAATGCTTCAAGTCTTTACTGGTAGGGCAATAACTGCCATATTTATCTTAGATTTTCACATCAGGGCATCAGACAGCATTGTAGAATGTAAAAGCCATAAAATATCTCTAAAATATGTCAAAAATACAGATTTAAGAGGCCAGTTGCTTCTAAATTAGCACTATCACACTCTGAAAGCTATGTCAACTAAACCTGACAGTGCTTTTTTGGAAGGAAAAACTTGGCAAAAGAACCAAAGGGATATTTACTCCTTCCTGCATACTTCTGAGCAATGAATGAACAATTGGGCAATTACCATCTATTAAAGACTAGCCTAGCTGCAGGTCTCAGGCTTCAACTCTAGTTTTCCCAGGATATAGAATCAAGTGTTTCCTCCAAGCCTGAATTCTTTCTTTGGTTAGAAATGCATCGCATCTTGCTAAAGTCAGTTCAGGGCTTGAAAGGGGAAAAAATAAAAGCACATCCAGTTTCACCAAGAAAAGGAAATCATGAGCCAGCAAAATAATAAATAACGACTTTGGGCCTCAGGTTGACACAGTAGCTCTTCAAACAAAAAGCAACCTTTTCTCCTAATGCGTGTTAACTACGGCTTCTTTAGCTGTGATCTTAAATAACTGGGAAAACAAATTACATTGTAATTGCAGTAGCTGGAGTCTGTACTGGTTTTGTAAAAATGAATTGGTGAAATGCTTGGTGTAAGTAAATTGTCAATTTTTATTTCCTAAGAACTAGAAGATTATCCAGAATTCGGTATTTTTAGCTAGTTCAGCTGTCAACTACCAAAGGCCCAGTATTATTTTCAGATCTTCTTTACTCCCTCAAGTCCACAGAAGAACCACTTTTATATATACATAAGCTGAAAGGCAGAAAAGGCAATTGAAGAACCTCACAGAACTCTTAACACCTTCATCTTGTTTTCTTTTACTACTTTCTTTTGGCTAGTCCAAAACAAATTCTTAGAATGTCAATATTGGTCTCTGTGCCTCTTAAGGTATTTTTTTAAGAACATGTCTGTACACACACAGTATTAGGGGATTCAATTACTTGGGTTTGTGTTTAAACTGTGGTATTACCTGTTACATTGTCTGCTATGCTCTTCCTCTCCACTATAGTAAAAATTCAGTTTAACTTGCAACTCAAAAATCCTAGATATAAAGCATGTTTACATTTACTGTTGAACAGGTAAATTACCATTTATAGTAACTGGTTGCTTCATAGTAAAATACAAATATTACGATCTAGCAGATATTTATTGAACTCTTTAAAGATTTTAACAAATATAAAAACTAGTTTTAAGATTTTTTTTTTCCCTCTTCATCTTTCAGTTAATATCCAAGTTGAGGCAAAAAGCCAAACCAGAGCTTTAAAAATATTTTTTGGTTAAACTTGCAGAAGTGAGGTTTTTCACCTTTTGTAATTACAACCTACAGACACATGATTTATAAAACTATGATTTTTGTTGGTTAACCTGACGGTTTTCCCTTACTTTTTTTTAAAGTTCATTTATTTTGAGAGGGTGAGAGTGAGCACACATGAGTGTGGGGGGTGGAGGTGGGGGAGGGGGACAGATCTCAAGCCGGCTCTGTTCTGTCAGCGCAGATACCTTACAAGGGACCCAAACCCAGGAACCATGAGATCATGACCTGAGCCAAAACCAAGTCTGGACACTTAATAGACTGAGCCAGCCAGGCACCATCCCCCTTGCTATTTTAAAGGCAGATTCACTCAGCATTAAAACTGCATTGTAATGGAAACACACCCTGTGCACATACACACATGCACACCCTTCATTGTGACAGAGCATTTAAAATAAGGAGTTATAATAAATGAACGCACTTCATTTTGGTTTGATGCCTAATCTTCAGAAAATTGCCAGTTACTAATGTAACTTTTCCTTCATTTCAAAAATCAAACTTTACATTTAACGTAAAACGTGGTTATAGGCCAGGGATGCACACCAGAATCACCTGTGGTGTTTGTCTCGAAACAGATATACTTTGGCCTAAATAGCTCTGGAATAGGACCCAGATCCAGGAATTCCTCTAATTTTAAGCAAGCATTAGAGGTAACTATTATAAACTTGTAACCTCTTCCCCTTACAGATTTGTGCTAAAATATTCTAACACAAAAACTTCTATAGCATGTACTTAATATAGAACTTTGGTAATTTGATAGCACTTCAGTAATACATTTGTAACTCAAGGCTTCAAATTATAAGTAATGGGCATTATAATCCATTATAATGTGAATTTTTTTTTAAATATTTATTATTTAGAGGGTGGGGAGGGGCAGAGAGGGAGAGAGAATCCCAAGCAGACTTAAGCTGTGAGCGTGGAGCCTGACTGCAGAGCTTGAACCATGAGATCACGACCGAAGCTGAAATCAAGACTCGGATGCTTAACCGAGCCAACCAGGTGCCCCTGAATTGTCATTGTTAAGGTTAGAAAAAACGATCTTCACCATTACTGCTTGCACAGTAATAGCAAACACTTCTACAGTGTTTACCATATGTCAGGTATTCTAAGCACTTTACACATATTAACTCACTCATCCTTACAACCTAATGAAACACACTCTCATTCTACAGCTGAGAAAACTAAGGCAAAGAAGAGTTATGCACACAGGTTACAAATGGGCCAGGATTCAATCAGCAGTCTGGCTCCTGAGTCCTCTATGGCCTTTCTACATGTTAATTAAAAAAGCATTTGTTATCTGTGACATTAAAATTTTAAATGTAATTATTTGGGTTTTTTGGGGGGGAGGGGGTTGGGACTGTTCTTTCCTTGAAATAGTCAATAACAAAGTCAAATGTCAAGTTTTGAGAAGATCCATGACAGCTACTTGGGGGCTGTACATGACAAATGGTTTATTCAGTTTCATCAGAGCTTCAAGACTCCTTTCTTGACAGAGGGGAAATTACATTTTATAACAGAGCTCCATAAGACAGTGTCATATTTGATTTTAAGAGTATTGAACTTAGCCACCTTCATTTGTAAAATACCACTGGTATCATGCTTCTCATTAAAACCTCACACTAGGAGACAGGTACTCCATGTCCCTAGGGATCCTTTTAGTTTAGTCCAGAAACACTGTTATCATCTTGACACCAGGACTTTTCAAAGGGCCATATCTAGGTCTTTGACACAAAGACTCCTGTGCTATACACTTTTTTTTTTTTTTTAATGTTTTATATAGTATGGTCACCTTTATTCCTTTTCTCTCCTGCCAAGCCCCTCCAGAATTAAATGTGCAGAAATTAAATGTGACTCTTTGGGTCAAAGGAGATACAAGTCTCAACACAAGAGTCTTGCCTACACAAACACCAGGTGAAATTACTATTCCAACAAACATGCCAAGGTAATGTCACCAAAATCCATTTTGTGTTGGTGACACAATTATACCAAATTTCCTTCCAAGTGCTTTTTAGAGTTTCCTTGCAATCCTTCAAAGATACCATTATTAGTTCTTAAGATGCTTGTTACACCGGTTACAAGAACAGTGTATTTTTAGGAGTTCTTCAGGCTAAGTAGCCCCTTTCTGTTGTAATTTGTGCCATGTATTTAAGAAAGACTTCACCTTTCATTCTGTCCTACAAATTCTACCCTGTGGCCATAAATTATAGAAAGGAAAACAGTGATCCTCCTGGGTTGGGAGGGAGGAGAAGGGGCAATATAAAGAATTCTACTTCTCACCACTGTCCTCCTAAGTTTCAATTTGCCAAAATAATTAAAATTCATTAAATTAAAATTTTTATTTTCCCCCTTACCAAAAATTTACAAACACCTCTATACACAGCACAAACCCTTAAAATAAAAATAGTTTGTCCTTTAGGATCCAATGTCTTATATCTAATGGAAGAAGTACGTAAGGATTTATTGAAACCTTTATCACACACTCAATATTCTCTTTTCTGTGGAAATGATGAATGCATGTACACTGAAGCTTAATCACTAGATCAATGCTGCTGCCAGCTAGGACTTCACCACCCTTCTGTTAACACATCCTGGAGATTTTAAAAACACTTTATTTAATAAAAGTTAAACATACAAAAAACTGAAATTAACACATATCCTAAAAATCACCATCTTCCAGTAATAGGAAGACATTTTACTATGCATATATTTGGCTTAAACTCAACTCAGAATAACTGTGATGTTCACTTAAACCAACAAATGCTGACAACTTGATCTAGTTAACAAAAATTACAAACTCAGCTACATAAACATAATATACAGGGAAATTATGGTCAGATTAATGCACAAGAAATACAGTAAATTTTTAATGATGAAACATTCAGTATTCTTGTTCATTAATTTAGCCTTGGTTTTTTTGTTTTTTGTTTTTTTACAAAAATAGTATCTACACTGTATACAGGGCTATACATCAGCTTTTTGTTTTCTTATATAAACATTACACATCCAAAAAATGGTACCACTACCATAAGGGAAAAATCAACACAGGAAAAGAGCAAACATTAAAAAAAAAAAACACCACCTTAGAAAAGGTAGCAGGTCCTAAACATGGTTTCTTATTACATAAAATTAAAACTCAGTGGAAAGAATGTAAAAGCTGAATCAATTTTAGAGATAGCCTAATAGGCTTAGCAAACAAATTATTGAAGGAAAAACCTCAAAACAAAGTTTGCCATTTACAAATTAACATATTTCTAGGCTTAATTAGGCAATAGCTAGGTTTACGTTGAAGATAAAAGAGCTCTTTAACAGGTTGGTATTTTGCCTTGATGTTCCAGTGAATTGCTACAATATGTGGCAAGTTCAAAGATCTGAGTATTCCAAGTTAGGACTTCACAAAATGTATACACCATCCATTAAGTAAGGGCCTGATATTAGGAAGATCAACAATTCATCTAAGTGCTGTATTTATGCAGCATCTATCTAGAAAAGTTGCTTTATTCAACAAACTTTGAGGAAACTGTGGTAGTAGTAACAAAAGTTAAATGAATAGCAGTTATCAAATGCAATTTCTTCAAGTTTCATTCTATTGAAGTCAAACAAGGACGACAATGGTATCTTCCTTACTCATCTAACAAATAATTTACCTTTAGAAAAATATAAGGATAAAAAGGTAAATGTAAAGCCCTGCAGAGATGAAATCCAACAGTTTTTCTGATTATTGAGGCATCAAATGCCTGACATTGTATTTAGAGGTATCTTGATATTGTGTCATAGGTTTATCAGCAATTCCACAAGTTCCTACTCCAACTTTGCCGGTTACACTCTCAGGTGAAGCAAAAATACTCCTTTTAACCTAGTGGAAATAAAACAGAAACCATTTTGATTAGTTTTGGGGGAACAAAATTTCTATGATACACTTAAGTACATCAAGAGAACTGGAGTGCTCTTTTAAATAAAATCTACCAGAGATCCCCAGCATATAAAGCAGGTTAACAAACAGGTAGGATTCACCACATTCCCTCTAAGGGTATGTTAGGTACCAAACAGTTTTTCAAATTTTAATTTATAGAAGGGTAAACAATCTAGATCTTTTGTAATTCCTGATATAAACTCTCTCATAGTGTTTCTATTGCAGAGACCATGGCTAATGGAGATATTTTGCAATAAGCCAAATGGAAGATTGAAGAGGATTATGATAACAAGACCCAGCTATGATCTTTTGAACCTATGTACCACATTTTTTCATTTATTTTTTAATGTTTATTTATTTTTGAGAGAGAGAGAGAGAGAGAGAGAGAGAGAGCATGAGTGGGGGAGGGGCAGGGAGAGAGAGAGAGGGAGACAGAATCTGAAGCAGGCTCCAGGCTCCAAGCTGTCAGCACACAGCCTGACGCAGGGCTCGAACCCACAAACTGTGAGATCATTACCTGAGCCGAAGTTGGATGCTTAACTGACTGAGCCACCCCAGGTGCACACACCCCCCCCCACCTTTTTCATTTTAAAGTTATTTTAATGACAGTTACACTTTTCAAGTTTATGAAGTATGATGAAAGGATTTACTAACCTGGCCTTTTTTGTTTTTAGAATAGGCTCTATTGTTAAACTGTTGCCATTTCACCTTCTGGTCCTCTCTTTCCTGCTCAAGTTCTTTTATTCTCTGTGCTTTTTTCAAAGCTTTCTTCTTTTTATATTCACGCTGCTGGGCAATCATTTCTTTTCTGTGTGGATATAACAGCTAAATGTCAACTCTTAAGATTTAATAGATGATTTCTTTAGAGATATTTAGCAGTGCAAAAAACAAAAACAAAACCCCAGAACAACAACAACAACAAAAACCCATAACAAACCTACACATTCCATGAATAGAAGCACTAAACATCAACAGTGCCAATCACCCAGTATTACTACGTAAGGTTATTTGAGATACACAGCATCCTTGGAAGCTTTCAAACCATATCTATAATCTATTACCCATTCAAATCAAATATTTAAACTAGGACTTTCTGACATTTACATCACTTTTGCCAGATGTGTTTTAGAATGAGTTTTAATGTTAATAGAGGTCTAAACCTTTATCCTTTTCTAAATGGATAGCAACTTTATGCTGCATTTTGCAAAACTATATAGAGATGCAATGCAGATAAAACTATTTCATCTAGACTAGAAGAGTACAGAACAAAGGAAAATCACAACTTAAAACTCTTAAAAACAAAAACTGGGGTTTTCAAAAACACTCCTCTATCTAGGATCAGAGCCTAAAGCTCTCTCAATAATTTCTGCTCAGTTTACATACTGACTTCTCACCAACAGGATGATGAGGTCTTTAAAAAAGAGGCAATACAATCTAGAGGTCTTTGTATCATGTAATCATCACTATGAAGCTAAGGGTGGCTTTTTTACACAGATGTCAAAGACTAAAAATAGAGCGATGTTACATTGTTCTACGGTCTGATTTTTTACTTTTTTTTTAATGTTTATTTTTGGGAGAGAGAGAAAGAGAGTATGAGTGGGGAAGGGGCAGAGAGAGACAGCAACCCAAGCAGGCTCCAGGCTCTGAGCTGTCAGCACAGAGGCCAATGCAGGGCTCGAACCCACAAACCACAAGATCATGACCTAAGCTGAAGTCGGACGTTTAACTGAATGAGCCACCCAGGCGCCCCTACAGTCTGATTTTCTTATTGGGATACTTAGGTGATCTAGTTTCCCCAAGCTCAAATATATTTACTTATGTAGCAACTTTTTAAAGTCTTGAGGGGCGCCTGGGTGGCTCAGTTGGTTAAGTGTCCAACCCAGGTCTTAAATTTCAGGGCCCTGAGTTCAAGCCTCACGTTGCTCCATGCTGGTCATGGAGCCTACTTAAAACAACAAAACTGTTGAAAAATCCAGAAAGAGAAAACTGTGGAAAATGTAAGTTTATTAAAATGTTGATTCTACCTCATATACACGTCAAGCCATACACTTCTCTATCCTCCCAATGCTGCTCCCTGAGTTCAGGACACCATTACCTCACACCTGATCACTGCACTAGCTGCTTTCCCTCGGCTGTCAGGGATTATTTGAAAGCTCAACTATGATCATATTATCTCCTCTATTTGAAATACATCAGTGGCTGTCAAGCTCTTTGTGATTTGGCCTCAACCTCTAAGCTCTTGTCAAACCACCCATCTTCAAGCCCTATTTTCACTATAGGAATTTGTTTCCATTACCTCTATGTTCCCACCTTGTTTTAAGTAAACATTTACTAAACTCTTACATTATCTAGAACTGTACCACATGCTTTATTAATGCTAACACTTAATCCTTAGAACCCTACGAAATAGATACTATCAACCCTGTTTTACAAATGAGGAAAGAAGTTAAAAAGTTTGCCCAAGGTCATACCTTCAAGTTCATTACCTAGCTAACTCCTTTTCTTTTCAAATCTCAGTTTAGATGTCATTTTCTCAAAGATGACTAAAATACAGTTTAGGTATCTTTCCTCTGTTCCCTTAAAGTACCCATTATGTTCCCTTAGTAACTTCTATAATTTACTATTAAAATTCTCCTTTAATTCTGTGTTTTCTTCTCTAGACTATAAACTCAATCAGGACAAGGTCCAAGTTGGTTGTCTTCACTATGGTATAACTCCAGCACATGGTTCAGTGAGAGGTACATATTATCTTCTTAAGAAATGTTTACTGAATGCCTAAGTGGGAACCAAAATGTCTTCACTTTACCTAGGTATACACATACAATGCTGACCCTATACAGCTAATCTTCAAAACAACGATAAGGAGTATTTTAACATTCTCACCCTAATCTAGCCTGCGTGAATTCCACAGACTGCCTCAAATACCAAAATGGGGAAGATTACATTTAAACTGCTAAAGTCAAAGTCACTTACTTTGACATGGGCTTGTTGCCACTGTCCTCCTTTGCCTTCCTTCCTTCTTCTACAGGTTTGAGGTTCAACAGTGGAGTCACTTCAGCATTGCCATAGCCAGCAAAGGTGATTGCAGCGGTGCCATTTTCTTCATCTATCTCCTCAATCTCGGCTTCATAACACCTGTAAAGATATCATGACTGTAAGCAGGTGAGTAAAGGTTTAGTACTCAACCTATAAGACTTACACTGCAGTGATTCAACTATTACATGTGTCTAAAATGGAACTTCTGTAATCAGTTGGCTCTTTGGTAAAGATAATACAAACAGTAGTTGGAGTTAGCCATCTACTATCAAAAAAAAAAAGGGGGTTCCTAATCAAAATATTGTCAGGAAAGTCTCCTACATGTCTATTAAATGTGCTTTAGTCTATCTCTTTGAGAAAAGATATTTTTTATAGGAATAACTTCAGTGTATGTGCTTCACGTAAGTCTAAGATAGCCAACCATTCACTCAATTTTCAATCTGAGGAAGAAATTAGGATTATTTTTTAACTATCCATTCATTTTCCTCTGCTTTGATTTTTCTGTCCTCTAGGATCCAAGCCCACCAACTGCCCCAAAATTTATTCTAAAGCTAAAAACTAAACTGTATTATAGTGGTAACCACCCAAGAATCAAATTGACTTTACAATTCATATTGGCTATACAGAAAGATTAAAACAGGGTAGTTCAAACTGAATAAAAACTTCTTACCATTGTATTTTATTATTTCATGTTATAGTTAGAGTTTTTTTCTACACTTACTGTCCATCTTCACTCCAGATTGCCATACACTTGTCTCCTACTTTCCACGAATGAGTGGGCTGAGTAGAAGCAAAACTGTCTGAACTTGCAAGAGTTTCAGAAGGCTGAGTTGACAGAAGGTCTTTGGTTAGTTCTATAACTTCCTAAAAAGAAAAAACAAAAACCATAGCATTATTTTTATAATTTGCTTATCACCTTTCAACAGGTTTTTATTTTGATGACTTTAACTCTCCACCATAAAGCACTTATTAAAAGTACACTACATAAATCTACTTGCAGTTCATAACGATACTATGATGTAGGTACTGTGATTATCCTCATGTAGAAACTAAGATACAATATTTTATACAGTGGTGGAACTGGGATTTAAACCCACAGTTGCCTTTCAATTAACCTCAAATACTAACAGAAAGCGGCAGACTTGAGCTTATACCATTCTTCCTTTCTTTCTTCCTCTCTCTTTCTCTTTCTTTTTTTAAGTAAGCTCTACACCCAACATGGGGTTTGAACTCCTGACCCTACTATCAGGAGTCGCTTGTTCTACTGACTAAGCCAGCAAGGTGCCCCTACCATGGCATTATCTCTAAGTGCCTGTTTTAGCTAAAGAGATCTAATATGAGAAACAATCAATTATGAGGGACTGAACTAGATTCAAGATCACTTTTATCTTCTATCTTTGTCACATGTATTTCATGCAAATGGATTGTTTTACAGGGCATTATTGGCAGTAGTATTAACTCTCTAGCCAACATGTTCCCCACCCCCATCAAAAAAGAAAAACCAAACCCAAAACACTTGAAGCAACCTTATTAGTAATACATATTTCTACTAAAGTATTATAGGCATACAGAAAAAGCCAGTAGTCTTCCTAGTCACTTATTATAAAACTTACCCCATCCAGATAAGCAAATTACCACGTCAGATTTAAAATATTCTAAAAAGCACATTAGCACAGCTTCATTTAAAAGGAAAAAATAAATGTAACACACATAGGCAGGCAATACCTGCCTGTGTGGCAAATATTTTCTCTATTTCAGGCTTACACTTATTGGCTTCATTCAAGGGTGTTTGGTAGGGTTAGTTAAAAAACTTAAAAGATATAGTACAAATGGCCAGATTTTGCTACCTATCTGCTTTTTTCACTCCAATGAAGATCTATGTTATGTATTACCTTATATGATTTATTTTAAAAACTCACATACCTGTTCCCCCACTGTTGCATATAAAATACCTTAAAACATCACAGTGTTTTGGGAGAAAAAGTAGCAAAGTTAAACTCTATACTGAGTTTATGTCTCCCACTGAAGTTTTATAATAGTAGCTCTGGTTCAGTAGCCAAGAAGTTATAGATTACCTCTTTCCTAAAGATTCTAAATCTTCCTGGCTATTTCTGAAAAACTAATATTTGAGCCTTCAAAAAAAAGGGGGGGGGGAGTAAGCCCTTGGAGAAAGGCCTGTTTTGTAAATAGAAAAACTAGGCTAACTCAGATTTGAATTAAAAATTCAGTATAGTATCTTAAATGACATTTTATTAGGTACCAAATAGCCATTCAAATGCCTTTTAATTAGATAATCCTTTGCAAATAAGGCAAAGAATTTCCAAATAAATAGATCAGGTACTATACAAAGAAGAATAAACTGTCCAGTCTTGTTTTTAATCAATTACTATTAAGGCCAGGAATATAATCCTTGACTCAAGAGCCAATACAATCCTTATCATTAAATAATTCCATTTAACTAAAACACAAACATGATTTCTGCATTTGTAGATCTCTGATTTAGATTCTACCTCTCTTAAGACAGAGCATCTTGCCATTTTATTTTCCTAAGGAAATTACAGTTTCACCAAAGGGTCCTGAAAAGCTGTGCATGTTACAACAATTTTCAGAGCCCTGCACTGAAGTGACACTTTAAAAAAAATCCAGGGCTTATCCCTAGTTGTCCTTTCATTTTGCCATGTTTTACATATCCCTCCCAACAAACTATGAAGACCCTTTCAATGTTTTCTTTACATGTGCATATGGACCAAAGTATTAGAGAAACTATTTTATGTATGAGGGGGTTCTTAAAGGTACATACCATTAATTACTTTTCCTCCCCCAAGTCTGAGTTCTGAAACTGCTCCTTCATCGACAGATGGGCAGCAGTTACAGTAATCGGCAATTCCAGGAAGCATCAGATGTTGTGATCTACATATCAGCAGGTCAAAGGGTGCACTCAAGCACTCTGCTTACTGAAGGAAGGCGTTTCGGGGATGCAGAGAGCCACTGTAATATATGAGACAAGTGACTTGACCCCTGCCTCCTTTAGAACCAGTTTATTCAGCAAAACAGCCTAATAAATTGACTATTTTTGTGATTATCACAGACTGCCTCGGGAGCTAGTAAAAGCTAGCCTAGATTTTACTATACCTACTTTTTTAAGTGAAAAAAGGCAATTAGGACTTCAGTAGATTAATGTGCTGCCTGCTGAGTAACTGTATTCTGTATGAAAGACAGTACATATAAATGTGGAAGCCTTACTGGCAAAATGAAGTCAATGAAAAAATGTAGGAAAGCACTTTGTCATAAATGAAAGGGGAAACAAATTCAAAACGAGGATAAAGACATTCCACTAAAGGAACACAAAATAAAGAAGGCCACAAACTCAGTCATCAGTCTGAACAACTTTTCAGCAAATATAAAAGGCAGAATTAAATATCCAAGGTATGAGGTATATCCCAGAAAACAGAGAAGAGAAAAAAAGGAAAATTATTTTTAAAAAACCCACGACAAAACAGAAGCTATAACTATAGTCAGTGGAGACAATTACTAGGTGGAAGCAGATATGTAAACACTTTTCAGAACTTTAATCTTCAATGATGCCTTCCATCTCTGAGTAATTTTCAGTTCAAAACAGACCTGTATCTAGTAAACCAAAATGAAAAATTTGTTTTCATGACAAAATAAGAGCGAAAGAAATCGTGATCACGTCTGGTCAGGAAAAACGTACTATATTACTACTATCTGAAGTTTTAGAACTTAAGCTTCTAAATCTGTGCTATCCAATATGGTACTCACATGTGGCTACTAAAATAAAATTAAGAATTCAGTTCTTCAGCTATCCTAGCTACAGTTCAAATATTTAATTGTCCCTAGTGGCTCCAGTACTACAGTAGATATAGAACGTTTCCATCATCACAGAAAGTTCTACTGTAAACAGTGCTGTTCTAAATGGGTATTTTATGGATAAATAACCATTACTAACTGAACCCTAAATAAGCCATTTATGTGCTTACCACAATGCCTACCACAATGGCCTCTCTCCCTATAATACTTCCACTATAGATCATGTCATAGCAAGGCAATTCTGCCTGGACCCTGACAATTCATTCCAGAAACATTAAAAAGACCTCACAATAATGTTGTTTCAACCTTCACTCCCAACTCCCCCTCCACCAGTTCCACATATATCCCTCCTCCAACTGCCCAGGAAGCAATATACACAATATTGACAATGGTTTATTTTCTTCAAAGAAAAAAAGGACTGCTTTTAAGTTGGTAAAACAAGATGCATGCCAGGATCCTTCTTTGAAGCAAGCAGAAAGCTGGCCTAGGAATGGGAGAAACTGCTCCCAAAACATCTTTTTATTATTGACTGGCACTCTGAAATTCAGTGGCCTGACTTCTACATACTGAAGATGGGTCTTGTTTTCCGTGTTTTTAAAAACCACATACTATTGCAACTCAGGCAAGTTTATCCTAAATCTACAACTTAAACCTGAAAATATTCAACTCATTTTAATTATGTCCAGATAAATCCTTTCAAAGTCCTGTATCTGGACACCATTTCAAATAAGTTTCATTCATTTGCAGTTCTAATATCCCTAAAATATTAATGTTAATGGGCAAGAGGATGATAAAGGGAGGGAAAGAATTTAGATAGGATAAAGATGATTCAAGTTTTGTACTGAATCAGTAAAGACCATCTAACCAAAATACCTTTTAAAATTTTCAAAATAATCAGGTTCAAAATTTTAAGTTCTCAAAATTTTTTAAAATGAAGTAATACACGTGTACATACATACAGTATTTTTATTAATCAACATAATGTTCTAAGAAACAACAGATATTTACTATAATGGTTTTGTCTGTCTTGAAACCCCAGTGCAAATTTTAAAAAGCAAGTTTCATACCTACGGAACTCTTCCATGACAAAACAAATTAAGATCTCCTTTCCACATCAATTTAACCTCAACAAGCGCCAACAACTACACTGTAAAATCTACCCTTAAATTCAAACATTATGTAACATTTATGCAGAAAACAAGTATCTCCTTAAATATTTTTATAATGTGTTTTCAATATAAGATGTTTACCTGCTAGCTTTGAAACACACACACACTCTTATTTCATGTTCAAGAACCTTGTGACATTAAAAAGAACCCTAATCATGTTACATTTTTCTCATTTTTTTAGTCATTTATAAAATTCTTCCACATCTGTTTTCATTCCAGTACAATTAACATTTTTAATTCCATATTATTTTTGTCCTTTTAGTTACCTTTGGAACTAAATTTCTTTTGCCAGATCTTTAAAAATAAAAGTACTTTCCACTGTAAAGTTAAATCAACTCTGATTTTTAAAAAATTATATGAGCATATGAAATTTACACAACAAAGAACAATGCTTTACTCATTTCGATGTATACAAATGAGGAAGCGGCAACCCTACTTCTGTGAGCAATATACACCTATGTGCATATACACGTTTACACACAAGGGAGGATAGCGGGACAAACACTCCGAATTGTGCTTTGGATTCTATGCAAGAAATCATCTGAAAAACACAAATACTTTTTTTCAAACAATATAACTATTAGCGTCCTCTGATACTTACTTGTAAATCTTTCTTTAATTTCAGCAAATCTTCATTTTCTCCATTTCCAGACAATGCAGCTTCAACTTGCTGGAGTTGAGCTTTGTAGCTTGCCAGCTGTTTTGCTAGATCCTCTGACATCTAGGGAAAATAAAAAGGGTAAGACCATGAAAAATAACTTCCCTGTCTGCCTGACTTAATCTTTACCAGTTTTGCTCCCAACTCCTTCATAGAAGTCATTGCTGCAGCTCCTCACCATTACCCTTACACTTAGTTCTGAGAAAAGCTGTGAGCCAAACCCAAACATCAAGGCAATGAATTCTGCAGAGTATAAACTTGTCAGATAAATTCCACACAGAAACAGAAAATAAGAGCTAAGATAAAAGGGAAAAGGAGAATTTCTATTTTTTAAACTTGTGTTAACAAGGAAGACACTGTATTTGGCTGAGTTGTTACATCTTCACCAAAAAAAAGGGGGGGGGGGCAGCACTAATCGGTTGGAAGAGTCAAAGACTGCCGACAAAAATATTTTGAAGCACTAGAGAAAACTTCCAGAACAAAATACAAATAGCTTTTGGATTAACTACATAAAAAATTCTCTGTACACGAGCTCTTCAGTTAGCGTGTTTAGAACCTCTTCCCAGAGCAAACAAACAAACCAACCCCAAAAAAACCCCAGTCACTTAAATACTGTCGATGCAGCGTCTTCATCAGAGAAACCGCACAAATACTATCCCAGTTAGGCATTCTAAGGAGCGTGCCTTTCACCAAATCTGGCTCATTCTTCTCCGGAAAGTAAGATAAAAGAATCCTTTCTCGATTTACAAAGCAAACACGCCGGGTTTCCGAGGATCCTTCTCTGTGTTTACGATTCCCGTCCAACGACACTTGGAAGGGCTCCAAGGGGGCTACCGCGAGCCTGCCTGCTCTCCTCCCAGTCACCCAACACCTCGGGGCCCGCCACAACTGGTCCATTATTTCAGACCTCGACATGCAAACACAATCTCCAGGGAAACCGAAAACACAAACGGACCGGACCCCAGCGGGGCCAGAGCCTCACCCCCCCCCCCCCCCCCCCCCCCCCCCCCCAAACACGCTCGGCACAGAACGGCCGAGGGCGTCCTAAAGAGGCCTCCGCGTCCCCACCCCACCCGACGACGGGTTTCCGGGGTTAGCCTCGTTCGCCGCCACGACACCGAGGCCCGAAGCCCGAGCCCCACCCGGGGCAGCGCAGGGCCCAAAACCCTGGCTGGGAGAGGTGGCCGGGCTCCCAACGTCCCTGCCGGCGTCCAGGCCTCTCCAGGGCGGCCCACTCCTCGGCCTCAGGCCTCCGCTTCAACTAGACAGAGGCCGAGGCCTAGCGAGGCCCTGCGGTCTGCCTCACCCGGTTCTTTACCTTGTGTGGGGTTGGGGGCAGGGCGGCAAGAAGGGGTCGGGACGGCGACAGCGGCGGCAGCAAAAGGAAAAAAAAAAATCTCCGCGGCAACAACAGGGCGACTAGATCTGAAACAGAACTTGCTCGGCGATGAGGGGGAGGGGAAAAAAGCTGGAGACTGGAAGGAGGAAAAGACAGAAGCGAGTGAAATCTCGCGAACGTTGAAAGCCTCGCGAAAGGTCGCCCTACTCACGCGATTCCCAGCGTTCTCTGGGCGGCCCAGCCTTACTGGCGTTAGGGACGCGGACTGGGCGGAGCTTCGTTGGAAGGAAATGGCGTAGGTGGGCCGCGCCAGGCGCCGGATGTAGGTCTGGCTTATCTCAATTTCTGCTGAGAGTCGAGAGACGTTATCTTTCGTAGGAGTTGGTGCCTTTGGGCCATTCCTTAAGTTCCCGAGGGAGTAATCGCGTGTGCCTTCTTACACTAGTGGTGCTGGGAGTTGGGAGGAACGGCGTTTAGTGCAGCGTTTATACTAGTGTTGGTTCGCAAAATGTGGTCCCGGCAGCCTAGTTCCTGGTAATTTATTACAAATGCAAATTCTCAGCACCCATCCCACAGCTACTGAATCAGAATCTCGAGGTGGCTCAGCAGCCTAGTTTAACAAGCGCTCCAGGTGATACCAACGTCAGCCCAAATTTGACAGCCATCGCTTTACCAAAAGCCAATTAAATTGTAGCAGAACCTGTTGGAGAAGAGGTTGATTTATTTAAAACCTATTTTGTTACAACCTACTTGGTTTTAATAAAGTAAATTGTATACAGGTTAATCTCGCCTGACAGGGAACAATCTCCAAGTTACAGTATTAAATGATGAGCAGAATGATGTGAATACTTGCATTTATGTTTAAAAAGCAATGCGCATTGTCTATGTTTCTAATCATATCTACTCTTTCTAGACGGATACATAAACCTATCTAGAGGTTTGGAATGGAAGCCAAATATTTTCACTGATTATCTTTTTTACTGTTTATCCTTTAAAAATTTTTTCCATACGTATACCGTTTGTTTGTTTTTTTCCAGTTAAAAAGAAAATCCTGTGACAAAGAGGCTATATGAATGCCAGGAAGGAACCTTCCCAGGCGAACTGGGGTCTTTTGCTAGACGTTCAAGAAGGTCCCCCTCTCAGATGGGCTCTTTTGGACTGTGACATCTTGCTTTAATGCCTTCTTGCTTTTTTGAAGGGGTCTTCTCTTTTCTTCTCTACATACACAGACATATATCCCTCTTATTTAGATAACCTTTATAGAGATGGAAACTAGATTTGTGATAATTGAGTGGCAATTTGTAAGAATTGAAAATGCTGCAGAGGGCAGCAGTGTGTTGCTAGAATTAAGAGGGAAGACCAGAAAGGATGTAATTCCTTAACATAATAGAAATTTGTTTAAAATATAATGTAGTTTTTAACAACTGCTTTTATTCTAATTGTGTACTTTAAGAACTAATGCCAGAAGGATCTTCCCAGAGTATAAAGTAAACTTTACAGTTGTGTAAAAACCTCTCAAATAAGAGAACTCTTAATGGAAACCACCCCCCACCCATCAGAAAATAGGAAAGTATTTATTATAAGGTCCTATATGGATTATAGGGTTACAACCTACTTGGATTTCTGGATCATCTTGATAGCTTTTGTTTTCAGTATTGTTTTTAATCTCTCCCTCCTCTGTGCAACATAGATTATATTTCGGCGGGGGGAGCAATATAGTTTTAATTTTAGTACCCACAAAGAGATAGCAGTTGTATGTACCAGGCGTCATTCTAAGCACTTTACATGTACCCATTTAATTTTCACAATGGTTCAATAGAAACAAAACGAGCAAATATAAACTTTGACTAAGAGTGATACTTCAGGAAAGGGTTCAGAATTACCATCTCAATTGAAGTGTGAAAATCTACTTTCCTTATCTAACGTTCTCATTCAAATCTGATCATGTTTATTCTTCAAAAACAGCTGTATCTAAAACTTCTAGTTCTTTATTTTTTCTTTTTAATTTTTATTTAACTTATTTTTTAAATTTATATATAAGTTAGCATATAGTGCATCAATGATTTCAGGAGTAGATTCCTTAATGCCCCTTACCCATTTAACCCATCCCCCCTCCTACAACCCCTCCAGTAACCCTCTGTTTGTTCTTCATATTAAAGAGTCTCTTATGTTTTTGTCCTCCTCCCTGTTTTTATATTATTTTTGCTTCCCTTCCCTTATGTTCATCTGTTTTGTATCTTAAAGTCCTCATATGAGTGAAGTCCTATGATACTTGTCTTTCTCTAATTTCGCTTAGCATAATATTAACCCTCTACTTCCATCCGCATAGTTGGGAATGGCAAGATTTCTTTCTTTTTGATTGCCGAGTAATACTCCTTTGTATATATATATACCACATCTTCTTTATCCATTCATCCGTCTATGGACATTTGGGCTCTTTCCATATTTTGGCTATTGTTGATAGTACTGCTATAAACATTGGGGTGCATGTGCCCCTTCGAAACAGCACACCTGTATCCCTTGGATAAATACCTAGTAGTATAATTGCTGGGTTGTAGGTTCTATTTTTAATTTTTTGAGGAACCTCCATACTGTTTTCCTGAGTGGCTGCCCCAGTTTGCATTCCCACCAGCAGTGCAAAAGAGATCCATTTTCTCTGCATCCTCACCAACATCTGTTGTTGCTTGAATTGTTAATGTTAGTCATTCTGACAGGTGTGAGGTAGTATCTCATCGTGGTTTTGATTTGTATTTCCCTGATGGTGAGTGATGTTGAGCATTTTTTCATGTGTCAGTTGGCCATCTGGATGTATTCTTTGGAGAAGTTCTATTCATGTCTTTTGTCCATTTCTTCACTGGATTATTTGTTTTTTGGGTGTTGAATTTGAGAAGTTCTTTATAGATTTTGGATTCCAACCCTCTATCTGATATGTCATTTACAAATATCTTCTCCCATTCTGTCGGTTGCCTTTTAGTTTTGCTGATTGTTTCCTTTGCTGTGCAGAAGTTTTTATTTTGATGAGGTCCCAATAGTTCATTTTTGCTTTTGTTTCCCTTGCCTCCGGAAACGTGTTGAGTAAGAAGTTGCTGCGGCCAAGGTCAAAGAGGTCTTTGCTTTCTCCTGGTGGATTTTGATGGCTTCCTGTCTTACATTTAGGTCTTTCATCCATTTTGAGTTTATTTTTGTGTATGGTGTAAGAAGGTGGTCCAGGTTCATTTTTCTGCATGTCGCTGTCCAGTTTTCCCAGCATCACTTGCTAAAGAGACTGTCTTTATTCCATTGGATATTCTTTCCTGCTTTGTCAAAGATTAATTGGCCATATGTTTGTGGGTCCGTTTCTGGGTTCTCTATTCTGTTTCATTGACCTGAGTGTCTATTCTTGTGCCAGTACCATACTGTCTTGATGATTACAGCTTTGTAATACAGCTTGAAGTCTGTAAAACTTCTAGTTCTTTAAACCTGATATTTATTTTATTGAAACCTAGTAAGTAGGAGCACCTGGGTATTTCAGCTGGTTAATTGTTCAACTATTGATTTCGTCTTAGGTCATGAACTTTTGGTTGGTGAGTTGGAGCCCCTCATCAGGCTCCGCGCTGACAGTGTGGAAACCTGCTTGGGATTCTCTCTCTTCCTCTCTCTCTGCCCTTCTCCCATGTGGGATGACAAAATAGACATTAAAAAAATAGACATTAAAAAAAAACTTAGGGGGCGCCTGGGTGGCTCAGTCGGTTGGGCGTCCGACTTCGGCTCAGGTCATGATCTCGCGGTCCGTGAGTTCGAGCCCCGCGTCGGGCTCTGTGCTGACAGCTCAGAGCCTGGAGCCTATTTCATATTCTGTGTCTCCCTCTCTCTCTGACCCTCCCCCATTCATGCTTTGTCTCTCTCTGTCTCAAAAATAAATAAAAACGTTA